TAAGTTCCTAAATACAGTTTATGTCTGTGACCCTTGGTCACTTGCACATTTAACAAAAGGGTGGGAGGGACCCTTGTGAGGTCCTGTGGTCTGTCACTGTTGGTCTCTTGTGCACATGACAGAAAGGCACTTAGCAATAAGATTAAGAGTATTTTGCCTCCAGCAAGCATAGTAAGAACTAATAACACACTGTAGCTGCTATTTACTAACACTCAGCAGATAGCCAGTGACTCTACCCAAGTTATAATAGGTTTATTACCAGAAATAGCCTCAAACAGAATTTCCCATAGCCAGATCTGCAGAGAACCTGTTGATATTGCTGGTGTCCTGTCAGGGCCAGGTGCTGGTTTGGGGAGTAGCAGGAGCTTAAGCTGTCTGTTTTGAAGCCCTCTGAAGGGGGCTTAAGTTGGCCATGTTTGGGTAGCAGATCAACAGCTGCACCCGCGGTGTGGGTACCATTGCTGTCAACATGGGCAGCTGGCTCTGCCTGTGGCACACCAGGGTGGAGGCTGAGACATTAGGAGGAACACACATGGAAGTGGGGTTGAATAAAAAACAGTGTCGAACGTCACTGGAGAATTTGCTTTGCAGATGTCAGTGTCTTACAGATTGCCTGTGTTCTTGGAAATCATTGTTTCTGCACAGGGCTTGTTAGATGGTACTGATTCCAGGCAGGCTGAGTCTGATCTGTGACAATTTCTCTTTGTCTGGCAACATTTGCCTTCTTGGTCTTTTATGTTTTTCAGGGTTGAGCACCTTCCTGTAGTTAAACAGAAAGGCTTTACTGGTGTGTGTCTCCTTCCCTCCCTCCCTCCCTCCCTCCCTCCCTCCCATCCTTCCTTCCTTCTTTTCTTTTAAGATTGTTAAAATTCCTTTTATGTCTCAGTGTTCTATCTGCATGTACAACTTTATGCCAGAAGAGGGCATCAGGTCCCACTGTAGATCTTTGTGAGCCACAGTGTGGTTGCTGGAAATTGAACTCAAGACCTCTGCATGAGCCACCGGTGCTCTTAACTACTGAGCCATTTCTCTATCCCATTGTGTGAATTTCTTAGTACAATGACAAGAGTCATTCAGGAAACAGTATTTACAATCTATTAATAAAATAGATTGTAAAGCAATTTAAATTTTTAATTAGAACTTAATTGCTGCTGGTTGGTGGCTGTACACACCTTTAATCCTAACACTTGTGTAGGAGAGGCAAGTGGATCTCTGTGAGTTCGAGGTCAGGCCAGCCTGGTCTACAGTGAGTTTCAGCACAGCTAGGGCTTCACAAAGAAAATCTGTTAAAAAAAAAATGCTTATGGGGTATGACAGTTTAAGAGTTAGTCTCCTTCCACCTGAATCCCAGGCATCAGACTCAGGTGGTTGAGATTGTCTGTGTTATGTTTTTATTTAAAAAGAGGAAAAGAGAAAGCTGCAAGATGAGACATGTTAACTAGTTTATTATATGGCCCGGCAGAGTAGGGAGACTAAGAGAGAAGAGGAACGGGGTAATGGCTGACCGTCATGGCTGGTCACCATAGAGAGGCAGAGAGAGCGCGTAGGTGAGAGAGAGCCAAGAAGAAACAGAGAGAGAGAGAGAGAGAGTAGAGAAGCAGCGTAAAGAGAGGAAGCAGAGAGAGAGCGTGAAGCAGGAAAGTTGGAGCTTTTAAAGGGAAGACTTCGCATGGGCCCTCAGGTTCCACGCTGTCTCTTAAAGAGGAGGTAGACCCGATCAGCGTCAAAGCCTGAACCTTTCAGGTGGAAGCACCTTCATCCGTTGAGTCATCTTAACCCCAAAGGCAAGCTTAAAAGTGGACCCTAACAAGCATGCACACATTTTCTTCTAGCTGCTTCATTCTTGGACTCCTTTCTGCCCGAGGTTGTTTTTTGTCATGGTGCTTTTATCACATCAGCAGAAACAACTGGGACAGAAAGGGAAGGCTGGCATTGGAGGCTCCCTCCTGAACTCTGTGTTGACCCAGGTTTGAAGGTTTCCCAGGATTTTGTACTTCAGAAGAGCAGACCACTGTTTATCAGCCCCATCAAAGCAGGAGATATGTGTGGCTAAGATTAGAAAGATCCATCTGACAGTTTTGTGCAAGAGAAGAACACTGACTCTGTTTTTATTTAAGCACCTGGGCTCCTTTGTTATGGCACAATGGAGAAGGATGCTAAAAACATGCCTTTAATCTCAGCACTCGGGAGACAGAGGCAAGTGAATCTCTGTGAGTTCAAGGCCAGCCTGGTCTTCAAAGAGAGTTGTAGGACAGTCTCCAGAACCTACAAAGAAACCCTGTCTGGAACACCTATAATCCTAGCATTTGGGCTGAGGGCAGGGAGGTTGTGAGTTTAAGGCTTGCCTGAACTACACAGCCAGTTTAAGGTTGACCTGGGTTTTATAGGGAGAATCTGTCTCAAAAGAAACAAAGCAGGGCTGGGGAGATGTCTCATTGGGTAAAGTTCTCTGTGTAAGCATGAGGACCTGAATGAGGACATAGAGTGTGAAGCTGGCTGTGGTGGTGCACACCTTTAATCCCAGGGGGAGGCAGAGGCAGGTGGAGCTATGAGTTCAAGGACAGCCAGAGCTTCAAAGAGAAACCACGTATTGAAAAACAAAACAAAAGGTTGGGTGTGGTTGGTGTGTACCTGCAGTCCCAGCCCTGAGCAGGCAGAGACAGGAATCGATTCCCCAGAGCTTACTGGTCAGCCAGCCTATGAAATTGGTGAGCACCAGGTTCAGCGAGAGACCGTGTCTTTAAAAACAAGGTGGGGAGAAACAGTAGATGAACACATGATGCTGGCCTCTGGCCTCCACATTGCTTTTCATCCCCTACAAATCCAAACCAAACGAAACCAAAAGCTAGTGGTGCAGCCAGGTGCCTCAGAGGTCACTGCAGCAGGGATGGTCTCTTGCTTCTTTGGCTCTTTAGAGAGATTAAGAGAAAGAGAATTAACACAGTAGAAGTTCCTTGTAGGAGTGTGTCTTCAGGTATACCCTTGGGCTAGCAGTATTGGTGTCACCTGAGAGCTTGTTACAACTTAGTGGTTCAACCCTGACTGCCCTGTCTTGGAAAAACCAAAACAAAGTCCTGTTTCAAAGGAGGCATTTGACATTCCTGAAGCTAACACCCCAGGTTGCCCTCTCTAGCCTTCACACATGTGCACCATACATGTACACCCACCAGCACCCATTGAATGAAGAGCAGCTTGTTTTTAAGGTGATTTCCAACAGCTGGCGTGGAAATGAAGGAAGACCAGGTTAAGGGAACAGGAACAGTGCCACAGAAGCAAGCAAGTAATCTGATAGGAAATTTAAAGTCTCATTTTTTAATGAATGAACTGTGAACTGCCCTCCTGCTGTGACCCCACACTGCACTGTAAGATGGAAATAGAAAATGTGCACAAGCTTCTTAGAGCTACATCTTAAAGATTCAGGAGTTCGGTGGCGATGGTGCACAACTTTAATCCCAACACTTGGGAGGCAGAGGCAGAAGGATCTCTGGAGACTGGCTGGCCTAGGAGGCCAGTCCATAGAGCAAGTCCCGGACAGCAAGGGCTACACAGAGAGTCCCAGTCTCCAAAAAATAAAAAATAAAGAATTTGGAAGTTCTCCAGCACCCCTGGAGAACGAGCCCTGTGTGTCTGTTCTGTTCTTAGAGGATGGGACGGTTTTGCACATGTTTTCCAGCATAGAACTCTTGGATACTGTGGACTCCATTCTGAAGGTGTCTTCAATATGGATCTATCTTGTGCTGGGTGCCTGGGATCTCCACACTCTCCAGCTGCTTTGTCTCCACTCCTGGTGGAGCATCAGACTTCGTGGCTGCAATGGAGTAAACTGGCATTATCCCTTCAGTTGTTACTGCCCATTATGTATGGGACACAGTGATGACAAAGCATGTCACCAAGATACAGCTTGTTGAGCCAGAATTGACAGCCAAAGGCCATGTGTACTGAGTGTAGAGGAGTGCCAAGACAGTAAGCCCTATACTACAGCCTGAGGTCATGTTGGAGGCCAGCCACACATTAAAGATTCCACTTCAGATCCTAGAAGGGACAGCTTGGAAATGGGCCACCCCTGTAAGGCAGTCCTTTCCCTGTGAAGGAGTGAGCCATGGAGTGGCTGGCCAGGAAGGGTGACAAGGTGACAGTGGCTGGCCCATCAACTACTCATTTGCACACATCTCCTGAAGAGCACTCAACTGTGCTTGCCTTACTGCCTTGGGCATTGGCAGGCTGGGTGGGGCATCTTAGTTCACCGTTCTGCAAAGGTGTTAGGACACAGCTTTCAGCACCTGGGGGAGCAGAGTGGCCTGTAACTTCATTCTGGGTGACATCAAGTGTAAAGTGGTGTTCGAGAGCACAGATCTTGGCAAGTGTTTCTATTGGTCTGCAAAGGTCCTTCTGATTGTCACTGTGTTGGAGGGCACTGTGAAGGCTTGCACACCAGGTGGGACGAAACTGCAGTTTATGCTTTTCTACAACTCTTTGGTGTAAGGATTCAGTCATGATGCTGCCTTGCCCCTGTCACCGGGCAGAATGCACTCAGGCAGTACCCTGGTCAGCCCGGGTGCAAAGAACCCCTTTAAAAGAAAGACACCCTGCCCACTCATGCTCTTTCCGGTCTCTCTTTCCCGATGTTTGCCTGGGGTAGACTTTCCTGTCTCCCTCTTCTCTTCTGTCCTCTCTGTCTCTGTGTCTCTTTACCTCTTTTCTCTGTCCTTCCCACCTCCCTCCCCTTTCTAATAAAACTTCTCACTTAAGCCCTGTCTGCCTGGCATGTTTGTCCCTCCGCCTTGGCCTACCTCGTGCTTTATCATAACACTTGGGATTGGCTGAAATTCCCCTGAGCCCTACTGGCCACCCAAGAACTGTGAGTGTCCTGAATCCAGGGTGGAAAGTGGAGATGAGACTGGAAGGCCTTAGAGCTGAAGGTCTAAAAAGTAGCTAAAGCCTGAAGTTGTGTGATAGGTTCCACCGACACTTCTTACTCAGCTCTCCTCTACCCTCTTTTCCACAGTGAATACCTACCTCTTCATGGTGCAGGCTCAAAGCATCTTGCTTCGGGACAATGTGAGGACCATTGGTGCCCAGGTGTATGAACAGGTGGTCCGTAGCGCCTATGCCAAGAGGAACAGCAGCCTGAATGACTCTGGTAAGGCTAGTGAAGAGGGCCCCATGGAATGTCTTTTCCCAAGGGGGGGGGGCTGAGTACCTCCTAAAGAGAGTGTGTTGAGAGAAGGGCTGGTCGGAGTCATCACTTCTGCTTAGGGTGTGTTAAGGCAGCTATAAGGCTGCATTTTCATTCTGAACTCAAGGTTGTCTTTCAGAACATGGCTTTTTGTTATGCTTTTGAGACAGTGTCTCCCTGTGTAGCCCTAGCTGGACCTGCCTCTGCATCTCAAGGGCTGGGATTAAAGGTGTTCATGATTACACCCACCCTTATTTTTTTAATCTATTTGTGTTGGGGCATGAATATTCCATGGAGTGAGTATGGAAGTTGGTTATCTCCTTCCACTAAGTGGGTCCCAGGAGTTGAAGTCAGATCATCAGGCTTGGTGGCAAGTGCATTGCATTTACCCACTAAATCATCTCACTTACCTTCTTTCAGGATTCTCTCTCTCTCTCTCTCTCTCTCTCTCTCTCTCTCTCTGTGTGTGTGTGTGTGTGTGTGTGTGTGTGTGTGTGTGATGTGTGAGAGAGAGAGAGAGACAGAGAAGAAGAGTGCTTGAGTGTGTAGATGCCCACAAAGGCCAGAAGAGAGTGTTGGATCCCTTTAAACTGAAGTTACAAGTAGGTATGGGCTGGCCAGTAGGGGTGCAGGAAACTGAACTTGGGTCCTCTGCATGAGTATTAAGCACTCTTAAAAAAAAAAAAATTGTCTTTATTTTATGTGCATTGGTGTTTTGCCTTCATGTATGTCTGTGTGAGGGTGTCAGTTTCCCTGGAACTGGAGTTACTGACAGTTGTGAGCTGCCATGTGTGTGCTGGGGATTGAATCTGGGTCCTCTGAAGAGCAGTCAGTGTTCTTAACCACTGAGCCATCTCCCCACTCCTCATTAAGTACTCTTAACTATCTCCAGCTTTATTTTTTTTTCTTAAAGAGAAACAATATAGCTCTCAGAATCATCTAAAATATCAGCTGTTATTGAAGTACTAAACCTGAAATTCTAACACTTGAGAAGCATATACAATGAGACCTTTTGAAGATAGGTAGGTAGGTAGATAGGCAGGCAGGCAGGCAGGCAGGCAGGCAGGCAGACAGACAGACAGACAGACAGACAGACGATAGATAGATAGATAGAATGAATGAATGAATGAATGAATGAGGGCTGGTCTGTGGTTGAATGAATGGAGAATACTTGTCTAGCGTGCACAAGTCCTGAGTCCATCCCCAGCTCCAGGGGAGAAATGCTGCTCTCCTGTTGAGTGTGGAGATTGGTATGCAAAGGTAGAATCCATGTGCTGGATGGGCCAGAGAGTTGGCCCAGTGGATAGAACCTCCAGCTACTCTTGCAGAGCCTGGACTCAGTTCCCAACACCCAGATGGCAGTTCACCACCATCTGTACCTCCAGTTTACAACCGACTTCTGCAGACACCAGGCGCATAAGTAGTGCAGACACAAATGCAAGCAAAGCATCCATACACATAAAATAAATACATCTGAAATGTAAGAGGCTTTTTAAAATCCTGTCGTTTAAAAACTCTCCAAACAAAGAACAGCATTCTGTTTCCTACCCCCACTCCCAGAATAGGACCAGCACTCCTCAAGTTGCCATCCCTAGATAAAGACCTGGATGTGTTAGCCATTTGGCTTAGATACCCTCTAGGTAGTCTTTAAGAAAGAAAACAACAACAAAAACCAGCCTGAGTTGAGAATTCTCCAGCTCCAGCCACAGAGTGGATGAGAGCCAGCTTTAGTGTTCTCACACTTGTGTGAGTTTAAAGGGCTAGGAAAAGAGACAGTCTGTGCGAAAATGTGTCACAGCCACCACAGCTCTGCTGGCCCTGCCCTTTCCTGGAGGGAGTTTTTTGCATGGTGCTTCTGTTGAACCTTATAGGTGAATGATGTCATGGCCTTTTTGCTGTGTGGTAGTAACAGTACCCTGGAAAAGAGGCATTTGCTTACACACTCTTTAGATCCCATTCAAATGGTAGGAAAGTGTGTGTGTGTGTGTGTGTGTGTGTGTGTGTGTGTGTGTGTAGTGGTATGTTATGTGTCCTTACATGTGTGTGGTGGTGTGTGGTGTATGTGTTGGTATGGGTGTGTGTGGTGTGTGTGTGGTGGTGTGTATGCATGTGTACCTATATGTGTTGGTGGTATGTGTGTGATGTATATTTGTGAATGTGTGTGGTGGTGTATGGGTGGGGTGTGTGATGTGTGTGTTTTGTGTGTTTAATGGCATAAAACCTTAAGAAGATCACAGTGGGAGGGACATTAGGTTGGGAAGTAAAGATAAAAGTCAAGGGCTTCACAGACTCATGGATGCCAACCAATAATTGATGATACAGCAGGAGAGCCTCACTGCCCAGTGTGTCCCCAGAGTCTCTCAAAGCTCAGGAATGGCCAGTGTCCCAAACCTTTGGGAATCAGAATAAAGGTGAGGTCATCCTAAGTCACATAGCAAGTTTGAGGACCAGCCTAGTATACTTGAGACTCTTGTCTCGAAAAATCAGAAAGGAATAGAGTGAGGGACCAAGATCCAGGAAGGCTGAAAATGGCTGTGTAGCCTGATGCCTAGAGCCGTGTCCCCAACCTGCCAAAGAACTGGAGCCCTAAGACCCTCACATGTGTACAACAGTTCCCTTGGTGTGGGTGTATGTGCTCTTGTCCTCTGTGCCAGAGTGCTCAGGACTGCGGTTATGGCAGAGGACGAGAATAGACCAGTGAAAGACCTGAAGATGACGGGGTGGGGGGCTCTGAACCATGTACTCGGCCAGAACAACCTGCCACATGACTTGGTGTCCACACCCTAACAGCTGCCCAACTTCCCACTCCAATGCTTAGCAACACTACTACTACTAAATAGATACAGAAACAAGGGAAAGCGGACTAGTGAAGGGGAAGACTTGTCACTCTGAACATTCCAGGACCAGAGAGTAGTGAGTTTCTAGGCTTGAAAAGTTCACTGAACAGGCACCACAGGGTGGGAAGTAGATTCCCAGCAAGGCAAAGCATTTGCAATTCCTGAACAAGGAGCAAGCTCTTCTACTTCCAAAAAGAAGTTACTGGCCACCTACAAAGCCAGGTCTTTGAATGGTGCCGGCCACTTGCAGCACCACGGTCTAGAAGACAGCAGACAGCTGTAAATGGGGACTTGCCTATACTGCTCTAGCTCAGCCACTGTGAATGAAGTGAGAGAAACAGAAGCCATCAGATACATGAGGTTTCAAAAGCATATACTTTCCACCACCTCTGTTGCTGTTGTTTTTCCAGACAGATTTTCTCTGTGTTGTAGCCCTGGCTGTCCTGGAACTCCCTCTGTAGATCAGGCTGGCCTCAGACTCACAGAGATTTCTTCCTGCCTTTGCCTCCTGAGTGCTGGGATTAAAGGTGTATACCACCACCACCCCACCACATCCTTTTAAGTTTTAAATGTTTTTTTTGTTTTTGTTTTTTGGTTTTTTTTTTTTTTTTGGTGTGTGTGTGTGTATTTGAATGTTTTGTTTGCATGTATGTCTGTGTGCCACATACATACCTGGTGTCCATGGAGGCTAGAAGAGGACATTGGATCCATGCATGAGACTGGAGTTACAGACAGTTGTGAGTTGTGGATGCTGAGAACTAAATTTGAGTCCTTTGCAAGATTGGCCAGTGCTTTAACCACTGAGCCATATCTCTGCTCCCCACCCTCCTTAAAGAAGCCATTGGAGAACCTGCTCTATAGTGAGGTAGAAGAGGAAACTAGGACTTTCAAAAATGAGGTTTAGTTCTACATACTGGGTGAAGGTCATCCAGTGGCACTGTTGAAAGATCTGAGGGTGGTGCACTGTCACAGCAAGAAGCTGCCTACCCTTCTCTGAGAGGCAGTGCAGAGCGAGGGCAGTGCTGAACCAGGAACATTTCCCTTGTGAAACCAAGGTAGCAGAAGATGAAAACAGCTCCCCCAAAACAACATCACCTTACACACTCCTCTGCTATGTCTGATGTTTATGGCATCTTCCGATTAATACCAGCCATTGCCCTAAGTCCAGTTATGGCAAGTAATTGGGAGACTATATAGGACAGGAAGAGGCAAGGCATGGAGGCAGTGAAAAGGAAGTGTAGTAGCCTACCTCATCTAGAGTGAATTCATACAAGAGGCAGCCAGAAACAGGTTAGTGGGATGAGCTCCTTGGCTGTGAACAAGTGCAAATACCAAGGCAGCTTGTCAAAGGTCAGAAGTTCTGGTAAAATTGAGTGGGGGGGAGATGGTCTGTGCTGGTTAGACTTCATTCTTATTCCCACTGTCTGTAAACTTGAGTACCAGAAGCCCACATGCAGATGGGAAGGGAGCCCTTACATCAGTCCCCTCTACTTTTCCTCCTGTAAATGGCTTCATATTTTAGCTCCAGCACTGAACCACCTGCTCCCACCAATCTACAAACCCTTCTGTGGAGCTGAAGGAGTCAGTATCCTAGTGCCTGACTGAGCTGTCTTTCTCTTCCCTCCCTAGATTATCCTCTGGACTTGAACCACAGTGAAGCCTTCCCCCCAACCACGACATTTCTTCCTGAAGATTTTACCTACTTTGCCAACCACCCTTGCCCAGAGAGGCTCCCTTCCATGAGTAAGTGGATCCGGCTTGCCTCAGGCTGCTTCAGGGCAGGTCTCTGGTTAATGCGGAAGGGAGACTGTGACCAGGTGGCCTCCCTGCCTCTTTGGATAGTGAAATGGCTCTCTGCCCTGAGAGTTGGGGCTGCAGGACACACCAACCAGCTCCTCCAGCCAAGCCTGCTGCTGGTGACCCACATTCTCTGTGGTGCTGTGTTCTGCCCTTTGTGACAGCCTTCATAATGTGTCCTGGAGAAAGTTCTGGCCATGCCTTTGTCATTTTTGTACAAATTGCCACTGCTTTGATATGTTAGATCTCTACCCATGTCCCTTCTTTTTCTGTGTCACACTTGGTTGTCACTTGTGCCATCCCCTCTGCTCACCCCACGCTTTTTCCTGTTCCATCCACTCTGGCTGGTTGCTAGAGGCTATTTTCTTGTTAGTTTTGTTTGTTTTTTAGATAGGGTCTAGGAATTCCTTTTGTAGACTAGGCTGATTTTGAACTCACAGAGCTCTCTACCTGCCTCTGCCTCCTGAGTGCTGATTAAAGGTGGGTGCTACCATGGCCCAGCAGAAATTATATTCTTAACAAAATGTTGGTTTAAAAAAAAAAAATCAAGCCATTCATAGTGGTTGTTAGTCCCACCATTTGAGAATAAGACCACTACCATAGTCTAAAGCTAAATTTGAAGCAAGCTTTAGTTAAATACTGGCCAGGTGAATGGGCTCTGGCCAGGTCCATATCCAGGTTCCTGGGAAATAGCTTAGAAACATAGTTTGTAGAGGCCTAAGAAAGAAAACCCACAATTCATTGCACCTCCCATCAGGTCCAATCACAGGCAAGTATACATCCTGATGTCCCTTCATCCTTTGAACCTCCCTCCCACGAATACATAATCCAGCACATTCGATGCATTTGGGTCAAACAAACTTGTTTAGGGGAGTGAAAACGTGGCTTGTTATCTCCCATAAACAGTAGCCAGCATTTCAGGAACTGTCTGTCCTTGGGCAAGGGGCTTGCAGATCACAGGCATTTTTGTTTCGTGGATCTCTTAGGCATAGTGATTAAAACTGAAATGTAGCTTTAGCTCTCACAGTGGCCACCTTTAATCTCAGCACTAGTACTCCACTTTGTCAGTTACCAGCTCTGTAGACCAGGCTATCCTGAAACTCACAAAGATCCTCCTGCCTCTGCCTCCCTGAGGGCTGGAAGCAAAGGCATGCACCCCACACCTGGCTTCCCAGCACTTATTGACTGTCATGGTTTCAGTTTGGGGCCTCTTGTCAAAGATGAGTGCTCTGAGTTTGGGCACCCTTAGTCAGAGCCCCTACTCAGTGGTGCCTGGGGTGACATAGGCAGCTGGCCTGCTTCTGAATGAGCTGCCAAGCCTAAGTGTGCCACACTCTGTCCCTCCTCTGATGAATTCAGCTGCCGCCTTAGAGGCTTTTTTGAAGTACAAACAGTTTATTGAGAAGTGAAATAGGAGCTCCCTATAACTGGGAGGGGTCTTGCAAAAGAGCTGCCTCGCCTCAGTTTCAAGGTCTTCCTTTCTTTCTCCGCCTTGGCAGGAGATGGCCTCTAAGGTGTTATATACATGAATTCTAATTGGTATTAATAATAAAAACTCTATCAGGGGGTGAAAGCAGAAGATCAGAGGAGCAAATTGGCCGGCCACTAGAGAGTTCTCACATCTACCAGTGCTCTGACCAAAGGGGTGATCCTGTTCTCAGACTGCTGCCACAGACTGCCTAGACTGCCATGAGCTCCGGTCTCCTTCCTTCCGCCTTATATTCCTCTCTGCACCCTGCCATACCCCTTCCTGTGTCCATCTTCTTAGTGCTAGGATTAAAGGTGTGTCACTCCAAGTGCTAGGATCACCTTTGGGTAAACTCTGTTTCTCTTTTAGACTGGATCAATTTCTTGTATCCCAGGGTGGCCTTGAACTAACAGAGATCTGTGTGTCTCTGTCTCCCGAGTGCTGGGATTAAAGGTGTGTGCCACCACTGCCTGACTTCTATGGCTAACTAGTGAGGCTAACTCTACACTCTGATCTTCCGGCAAGCTTTATTTGTTAGATCCTAAATAAAACATCATCACAGTGGTGTCAGATGGTGACACACTAAAGGACGGAGAGATGGAAAGCACAGGCCAGGGCTCAGCCTGGGAAACTCTTAATTATTTTTCCTCCCTCTCTGTCCAGAGGGCCCAATAGACATAAACATGAGTGAGATCAGAATGGACGATATTCACGAGCTCTTCTCCAGAGACCCAGCCATCAAGCTTGGAGGCCACTGGAAGCCTTCCGACTGTGTGCCTCGATGGAAGGTGGGCTATGCGTCAGACCCCAGGTGTTGGAAACACATCTGGGATTCCTGGGATTCAAGAGCTGTGACATCCGGGAAATTGCGCTCTGCCTTCCCATTTTCGAGAAATGTTTTTCCCTAAGGACTCCCCTGTAGTCATAGAGATTGGTAGCACCCTGTTGGTGTGTGGTGGCACTGAACCCCTTTGTTCTCAGGCAGGATTATTTACAGGAGGTAGGGTCGGTAGGTCGGCTGACACATTTGTGGGCTGTGTCTCTGCAGAGCCAGTGTTTCCTGTCTGCTCTCCCAAGTTCCTGGAAGAATTCTAATTGGGCTGCAGTGCAGTTGTGCAGCCGGACCCTTGGGCCTTTGTAGGATGATTGTAGTCAGGACAGGGACAGAAACTTAAGATCATTCTTTGACCAAGTGTTTCATAAAGGACTTGGGTGCTGCTGACCCTGTGAGGAGTGGGCCATGACACAAGTCACTGGATAAACTTAGTACATGGCAGCAGGTATCCACAGATGTCCAGTGTGGAACGAACTGTGTGCAGCATTGAGGAACTTGGCACATTTTGTGTTTGCACGCTTCTAGAGGGACCTTTGTGCTGGATCACCTGGGTATATACGCCTCCTAGAGCTGTAGTCAAGATAGGATCAGTTAGTTCCAGGGTGGCCTTGCTTGCACAGGTCAGCATTACAGGATGTCAATGGGGCCTCAGCATTCTCTAAGGGTTTCTCATCCAGGAGTACCCAACTGTGTAGCAACTCAAAGAACTAACTGGGCAGCTAGGGCCAGCAGCTAACTCGTGACTCCTTGCCCTGTGATCCACTGCAGGTGGCCATCCTCATTCCCTTCCGGAACCGCCATGAGCACCTCCCAGTCCTCCTACGACACCTGATCCCCATGCTTCAGCGCCAGCGCCTGCAGTTTGCCTTCTATGTGGTTGAGCAAGTGAGTGATCCTTAGTTTCCTTCTCTCTCTTCTGAGTCCACATTCTGGGAAGTTGCAGATGACACTATCTTCAGTGTAAAGAGCCCAGGGTGGCACTGTCCTGAGGTATTCTCAAAATTAAGAGTCCCTCTTCTTTGGGGTGTGGTGACACATGCTTTTAATCCCAGTACTTGGGAGGTAGAGGCAGTTGAATCTCTGAGTTGAAGGCCAGCCTACACAGAGAAATCCTACTCTGTGTTGAGAAAAAAGTGTCTTCCTAGATATGTCTAGGTTTGTGTCGTTGTGTCAAGACCAACGAGTACCTCCCTTGCACCTGTCCTGGGTGTATGTTTTGGTACTGGCTAGGGTAATTGAAGGTTAACATGTAGTTCAACTAGGCCATATCTAGTGTGAACTGGTCTCTACCTGCCACTGAATTTGTAATCCTCAGACATTAGTCCCTAGAGACTTAACTCCTGACTGTTATAGTGGACCCGTCATAATAAACAAGCTGAGATGAGCACATGAGCACGCCTTCTTTCACCAGATGTGTTTAGAGTGGCAACAAGCTGGTGACTTAGACTTGGTAGTGCCCGGCCTTTCCCTGTATATCCTGTGGCCATGGGCCTCTGTTTTCATCTGCGGCACGTGTCAATGCAGTGCTTTCTGAAGAAACAAGACAGACTCCAGTAGACTCCCTGGGTGACTGTGGGCTGAGCAGCGCTACACACTCTGGGCCCAATGGTCCGTCCATTTGGCTCCTAGGAGCCCTTTTGGTGTGCAGCGAAGGCAGTAAAATCTTTGCTTCAAGATCCTTTGTTCTTTCAGGTTGGCACCCAGCCCTTTAACCGAGCCATGCTTTTCAATGTTGGCTTTCTAGAAGCCATGAAGGACTTGGATTGGGACTGCCTGATTTTTCATGATGTGGATCACATACCTGAGAGTGACCGCAACTACTATGGCTGCGGACAGATGCCCAGGCACTTCGCAACCAAACTGGACAAATACATGTACCTGTGAGTGTCTCCTCCTCCCAAAGGCCAGTGGCAGAAACGAGACACAGCTGGCTGTGACTGGCTGTGTCAGCTGATGGGTGGCTTGTAGAGTAGTACTGTGTATAGGAGGAGTTCAGCAGTGAGCAGGCATGGGGTCAAGTGTCACCATCTTGCTCATTGTGGAAAGTGGGTTAGTAGTGTGATTGGGGTGTGTGTGTAATGTTTGAATGGTGACAGCCAGTGGTGGTGATGGAGTAACTGAACACTGATCATGGCCATGGTTGCACAACTTACTAAATACACACTGAGTAAATTCTGTGTTCTGTCACTCACTGCACAATAAAATTGTCTCTCGGAGCCTGGAGTGGTGCTCAGTTCTCTTGCCTGGCTGTGTGAGCCTCTGGGTTTCATCTCTGCGTGCAGGGAAGCAAAGACAGATTCATCGAGAAATTCAACTCTAGATCTAATGCGGCTGCTGTCCTTCCTTCAGGCTTCCCTATGCAGAGTTTTTTGGTGGAGTGAGTGGCCTGACTGTAGAACAGTTTCAGAAAATCAATGGCTTTCCTAATGCCTTCTGGGGCTGGGGCGGAGAAGATGACGATCTGTGGAACAGGTATGTATCCCCATCCTGCCCTCCCCCACCCCCACCATCGTGTCTCAGAGACCAGGAGCCACATGGTCCCCCAGCACCTTTGCAGCCACACTGGAAAGAACCATGTGCAGAATAGCACTCCAGCACGCTGCCGGAGCAAGGCTGTAGGGTGTCCCCATGTGTCCTCCACCGTTTTTCCCTGTGAGCAGCCACACAGCACAGCAGCTCCACCCAACCTTTCGGGCTGCATTCTAGGAGCTGCTGCCTTGTGTTCTTTCATGATGGAAATGAATATTGGGAGTCATGACTATTTGGAGTTTGTTTTTAAAAATTATACAGTTATAAATTTAAATAACAACAGAAAACCCCTTCTAACCAAAAAAAACAAAAGTTATAATAACATACGGGGGAGCCGGGCGTTGGTGGCGCATGCCTTTAATCCCAGCCCTCGGGAGGCAGAGGCAGGCAGATCTCTGTGAGTTTGAGACCAGCCTGGTGTAAAAGAGCAAGTTCCAAGACAGCCTCCAAAGCCACAGAGAAACCCTGTCTCAAAAAACCAAACCAAACAAACAAACAAAAAAACGTACGGGGAAGGGGGCTGGAAAGATGACTCAGCATTAAGCACACCTATTGCCCTTCCTAAGTTTGGTTCCCAGTACACACGTTGGGCAACTCACAGCTGTCTGTAACTCTAGCTCTAGAGGATCCCATACCTTCTGTAGGCACCTGTACTCACCCACATACTCACACACAGACATACAAACATAATTTAAAATGTAAAGATTAATTTGGGGCCAGAGAGATGGCTTGCTGGTTTAGAACACTTGGTGCTCTTACTAAGGACCGAGGTTCAATTCCCAGCACCCACATGGCAGCTCACTCACAACTGTCTGTTATAACTCCAGTTCCGAGGGATCTGATGCCCTCTTCTGACCTCCAAGGGCACCAGTCTTGCACAAGGTGCTTATACATACACATAAAAAAAAAAAAAAGTTTTCAATACTTAAATGTTAGAAAGAAAGAAAATAATAGTTGGGTGTGGTGTCTTCTCAGACCTATGATTCCAGCACTTGGGAGGCTGTGAGGAAGAGGGTTCTTTGAATTCAAAGCCAACCTAGGCTACCTAGTAGACTTCCTTCATAGAACAGGGAAAGGAAGAAGTATGTGCATTGTAAAATTCATATATGAATAAAAATAAATTGCCCCAGTCTTGGAAGCCAAAACAACATTGTCGCCATTGTAGTTCATCTTGAAAACATCAGATCTGTGTCAGTTTATCAGACACACACGTAGCAGTGGCCTCAGTCTCATATAAGCATCCCTGCTGGGGCCCAGGTGATGTACATGTTAGGAACCCATGGTGTCTTGTGTGGGATGCCGTCTGAAATCACACAGCTTGCTGCTGGCATGTTTAGCCTTCAGCGTTCCCATGCATGCAGGTGGTAACTTAGTAGATGGTCTCATTCCCACTGGAACTTAGGAAAAGATCTTAGAAATGAATTTAGTCAGAATGTGATGTATTTGTTAGGGCTCTTGAGCCATGTTATAACAGTGTTTCCCGTGTTCCATGTGGCTTTCTGTGCACTGTGTGCCCATGTCAGTGGGACCTCCCCAAGCTGAAGGGTGGAGTTCCTGGTGAGCTGTTCACAGATATGTCCCTGCGGTCTGCAGCTGCATGCCGGTGGGGACTTGAGGTGGGTGTTGGGGTCATCCTCAGTGGCTGTCCACCTTGTGTTTTCAGACAGGGTCCTTCACTGAAGCTGGAGCTCGTAGACTGAGCTAGGCTGGCTAGCACTGAACTTCAGGGTCAGCTGTCCCTCCCCTTCTCCCCCGCCCAGGGCTGGGGTCATACCCTCCCCTTCTCCCCTGCCCAGGGCTGGGGGAATAGACACACAACACTCCGCTCAGCTCTTACATGGGTTTTTGTCGATCCCAACTCATGTCCTCATGCTTGTGTGGTTGCTGAGCTGTCTCCCCAGCCCCCAGGCCATCATTTTCAATAGCAATTACATGGCCTTGCCACAGACAGAAACGCTAGTTAATCTTCTGCTGGTAGGTGTTCTATGGGAGTGTGCCATCCTTTGTTCACATGTGTGGGCATCAGTCCCTGGTGTGACTGGACAGTCAAGAAACACATTGTGACAGCTGCTGGGTGTAGCTCAGGGATGGAGCACTTTCCTAGCGTGCCCTGACTATGAGGTGCGTCCATGCACGTGCACTTGAAATATTAGCTGGTTAAAATAAATATCAGATCAGTTGGATGAGTGAGGTGCTTGGATGCTGTTGGAGAGACTGTGAGTTTACTAGTCTCTGGGTCTTCAGCATCTCACTGCTGTCCCTTTGATTTTGGACAGGGTACAAAATGCAGGTTATTCTGTGAGTCGGCCGGAAGGGGACACAGGAAAATACAAGTCCATTCCTCACCACCATCGAGGAGAAGTCCAGTTTCTTGGAAGGTTGGTGTCATTTAAGTTGCCGCCCCACCCCTCTGCCTCTGTGGCGCAGCTAGGCATCACCCGTGTCTGTTCAGATTAACCAAGGTAGACATTTTGGGTGACCATTGGTGAAGGTTAGATATTAGGTCTCCCATGTTACGATAAATCTTTCTGCCAAAAGCAGCCTGGGCCTTACCGCAACGTGGGCGGTCTCCGCCAGCCACCTGAGTTCTGCCCGCCAAGTTAGGGCCCCAATTAATGCACAGAGACTTACATTAGGTACAAATGCCGCTTGGCCAATGACTAAGATTCTCATCTGTTAGTTCAGTCTTAATTATCATAAATCTATATATTTTATAAGACTTATCGGACACCTTCCATTGGCGCCCTCCCTTGCCAGTGGATCACATGGTGATTCTGGAGGAAGAGAGGGACCACTTCCTTCTTCCCTTGTTTATGTATGAGTCTCCCTGTTATGTCATTTCCTGCTTGGATCATCACTTCTTTACTACATTTCCCAGAATCCTCTTTGACTCCTAGTCCCATGTAACTTGCTGCTTCATTGGCCAAACAGTACTTTATTCAACAATCAATAAGATGAACATACACAGAAGTACATTCCCCATCACTCCCATGCAGCCTGGGAGTTGGGGTCACATTCTTCTAACCCCTGCACCGTGAAGGTGTCTCTAAGGGAGTGACAGGACTTTAAGCCTGGCTGCTTTTTGTTCCCCTTCTGTAATCTTTCCGGGGCTTTTCCACTCTGACTTTGGGCCATTCTCTTAAGCCTGCATTTCCTTTGACCTGAGATGCATTAGATGAGATGCTGTAAAGCTGGACTAGGAAGCTGCCCTGACTGTGGACCTGGGATTCTGGCTCTGAGTCTCTCTCTGTCCTTGGCTTCCCAGGTACGCTCTTCTGAGGAAGTCAAAGGAGCGGCAAGGGCTAGATGGCCTCAACAACCTGAACTACTTTGCAAACATCACATACGACGCCTTGTATAAAAACATAACTGTCAACTTGACACCCGAGCTGGCTCAGGTGACTGAGTACTGAGATGTGGAGAGAAGCTGTGTCCGCCTACCCACCAACCCCTCAGAAGCGCTGTGATGCGCCATCCTGGGGGTCATCACAGAACGAGGACAGAAAGAGAGTGGAGTGCAGGACTGTAGGGTTCCAGAAAACTGTCACAGAGCACACACACAAAGGCCTTCGATGTAGGCCCACACAGGGACAGGCGGCTTGGGGACACCTCTCATCAGCACTGGCTTCATTCTACAAGACAGACGTCTGCCCTGCTGCTCTCTTCCGTCCCCACCCTAGGGCCAGCCTAGGTGTCCCTCAGATTAATGGATGGCCAAGCCCAGAGGCCACCATGGCCAGCCAACCCCTGGCTTGGAAGCGGGAGGACTGCACACTGTTCTCTGAATCTCTGTTCTTTTTGGTTTTCATTTTGTTTAGTTTTGGGGCTTCCTTCCTTCCTTTCCTTCCTTCGTTCCTTCCTTCCTTCCTTCCTTCCTTCCTTCCTTCCTTCCTTCCTTCCTTCCTTCCTTTCTTAAGAAAATTACCTTCATTGGGTGGGAACTAAGGGTAGAGGGGAGGGACCTGGGGTGATAGACATTTAACAGTCACTTCTTGAAGAAGTGTAATTGTAAATAAGCCATGTAAAATGCCTTTTTAAAATTTAATTTTATAGCTGGCTCCACTTCAAAGTGAGGGCTTCATATATTAGATCACCTTCGGTGGCAAACTTAACTGAGTTACCACACAGTTGGAGAGTGTCATCTCCCAAATCCCTGTCATTTGGGGCATGGACATGGGGCAGAGCAAAGAACCTCTCACTACAGTCCCTCTCTCCCCCTCCCCCTCCAGAGACTTAACAGCTAAGCAGGGACTGCTCTTAGGGCCACAGTGTTCTCCCCTCTTACAGACCTCTCCATGCTGGGGTGTGTGGGGGTTGGGAGGCAGGGGTGTAGGGCTATCACTCCAGTGTGGAAGGCAGGGGCTGGAGAACAGGAAGTTTGAGACCAGTGTGGGTTACATAGCAGGTTCCCGGCCAACCTGTGCTGTGGAGCAGGGTCCCCGCATACCCCTGCTCTCTGATCTTTTTTTTTTGTCCCTTCAACATCTCAGAGTGGCTGTTGGGAGACACTCCCCTTTCTTTGGAACTTGGCCAGTTTCTCAGAGCTGTGCCTGCGTGACCAGCTGGCTTTAGTGGTTTCTCTGTTTCCCTTTTTGGTTTCTGGGAAGATGCTGTGTTGTTCTAACAAGCAATTGATTGGGAAGGGCTTGGTCAGGGAGCAGGTGGCACTGGGGTACATGTGTCAGCCAGGGTCCAGGGTCCAGTCTGAGATTTCACCAGAGCTTTGACCGGCAGCCAGCAGAGCTCCCCCTGCTTTCCAGTGGCAGTTCCTAAGCTGCACTCAAAAGGGTCCCTCCTCCCTGAGCCAAAGCCCTTCTTGTGTCTGCTGCAGCCCTGTCTCTACAGCAGGACTCTGAGTGTGGTGAGGAGCGCTTCCAGCTTCTGTTCTTTTGCCTTTTTGCCTTCAGCGCCCTCGATGTTCATGGTTTACATAGGTGGGTGTGGGGTGTGTAAATATGTGGGGTTGGGGTTTTTGCATTGCACAAGTTGGTTCTGTGGACATATGATCCCCACAGACTGTGGGAGTGATTGGCCAGGCCTTGTTTTTTTTTTTTTTTTCCTTGTTTTTGTTCTTTTTGTAGAATAGAGTGGTATCTAGGGAACAGATGGCATTGCAGACTGCTTCCCGCTCGTATGAGAGAGCAGGTGCCTGCCCTTGAGAGCGCTGGTGAGCTGCGTCATCTGTTTGCACTGGGCAAGGAGCTGCACTGCTGCGTTGACTTGCCTTTGTCTTACGGTACACACAGCAATAAAGATTGTGTTGGTCCCCAGTCCTGACCCTCTCTGCCCTCCTCTTGTTGGTTTTACAGTGCTGGGGATGAAACTCATGGCCTTGGCGTGCTAGGCAAATGCTCTGCCACTGAGCCATGGACCCAGCCCTTGCTCCCCTCATTCTCCTGTTTTTGCACTGAAGGCCAGGAACTGCTTTCAGTGTGGCAGAGTCATGGTCCTTTGGCGGGGCTTCCAGGGAGGGACAGCGGTGCATGCAGCATGTGTCCCGGTTGGAGCTCTGCGTTCTCACACTTGCCACAGGGTACTGCTTTGGGCCAAAGGCTGATACTTGATTGAAGAAAGAAAACGCTGATTGGGGGACAAAAGGAAAGGTCTTTTTACTGCTCAAAGTAGGGTCGCTTATATTCTTTTGCAATCATGTCCAAGTTTGTTTTTAGTGTGGACTCTAAGTGGGCACTGTCAATCATTGTCCACCAGGTCACATGCTGAGTGGGAAATGCTACAGTCAGAACCATACTAACAGGCCACGGTTAGGCCACGGGTGCTTAAAGAAAATGACAACGAGAAGCGAGTGTGATCTTGGTGTATTTTGGCAGCTGAGATTATTCAATGCTACACATGAGTGACCCTTAACCGACCTTGCCCTTGACTGCCTTGTGTGTGCAATGTTCCCCTTCACACAGGGTTTCTTTCGGGGGAGAGGGGTTTTGCGAAACTTTGGTTTTGCTAAAACAGGGACTCTTATCAGCACTTCCCTCCCTCAGAGGACAGTAGCAGAGCAGCGGAGCATGTACTGACGGTACCCACACACCACTGATGAGGCATTGAACGCAGCTAGCTTATTCCATCATTACTTTTGTTTGTTTTCAGCTTGCTCTCTGTTTTAAAAGGTGCCAGGGGTACATTTTTGCACTGAAATCTAAAGATGTTTTAAAAACACTTTTCACAGAGAAAGTCCTTTGTCATTACATTATTCACTCATGTGTTTGTACATTTTTGTATGTTAATTTATGAATGATTTTTTCAGTAAAAAATACATATTCAAGAACCAAACTTTGGTGGTCGTGTCTGTGTAACTGCCTTTCAGGGAGGTTTCCCCTCCTCTGTAGAACACCACACATAGGTGACAATTTGATTCTACAACATTCTCTGTGGCCAGTCCTGGGTTGCTTTCTACCTGATTCTACTCACAGATTGTAATCACAGATTTTTATAAATTGAGGGTTTGTGTGTGTGTGTGTGTGTGTGTGTGTGTGTGTGTGTGTGTGTGTGTGTGTTAGAGAGTGTGTGTATGTATGTGTATATATGTGTGTGTATGTATGTATGTGTGTGTGTGAGTGTGTGTGTATGTGTGTATGTATGTGTGTGTGTGTATGTGTGTGTGAGTATGTGTGTGTTAGAGTGTATGTATGTGTGTGTATGTGTGTGAGTCTATGTGTGTGTGTGTGTGTGTGTGTGAGAGAGAGAGAGAGAGAGAGAGAGAGTGTGTGTGTGTGTGTGTGTGTGTGTGTGTGTGGTTTTGTCTTGTTTTCCAGTCTCCTGTAGCCCAGGCAGGCCACAAACCTGTTCTGTATATGTACTTGAAGATGACCTTGAACTTCTGATAGGTGTGCCCCCACCAAGTTTGGGGGAAGGGAGATAGAACTCACACTTAGGGCAGCCTGCCCAGCTCTGCACCGGTGGAGCCCCAATCCAGTCTTTCTTGCTATTTTATTTCATGATTGTAGATCTTTGCCAGAATGTCTGTGCCCAGTTTGTGTGCCTGGTGCCTACAGAGGCCAGAAGAGGGCATTGGCTCACCTGGAACTAAAGTTCTAGGTGGTCATGGGTCGTCATGTAGGTGGTGGGAATTGAACCCAGGTCCTCTGCAAGGGCAGTCTGTGCTCGTGACCATTGAGCCATCTGTTCATTCCACCCGCCCCCGCCGCCAGCATTTCTTTTCTTTACAGTAGAGGACACAGCCCTGCACCTAGGCACTGGGAACAAGATGGGTGAAATAAGAGCGCTCTCAAAGCAAGCTGTCTGAGGCTGAGGTGCTGGGAAGCCATGCCTAGTCCACAGTATGTGCTGGGAAGGAGGCCCTAGCTGATAGGAGGAAGCCTGGAGTTGAGTTGGAGAGCTGGGCAAGGTCAGCTGCATGTCCACAGCAACAGAAAGCACCGAGGCTGGGCAGGGCCTGTGGATCAGGGAAGGAGGCTGGGCACGTCCTGGGGAATGGAGTTGGGTATTTGGCAGTCAGGACTGTATGTGGGAAGATTCCACCACAGGTTCTAGGGGTGTTAGCAGCTGAGAGGCTGGAGAGAAGCAAAGACGTAAGGCGTGATGGAGGGAAGAGGCTGGGGTGGGACCCAGGGCTGGAGGCTGGAGGATCCCTTGGGAGAGCCTAGCTTCCCTACTTGTTTGGCACCAATTTCTGTATTGTGTTTGCTGGGTTGGAAACCACCATGCAAAAATACCAAGTGGGCAGCTGTATGCTCTGGTGAGGGCATCAGGGGAGGGGCCATGCAGACCCAGCGGATCAGTCCCTCAGATGAGTGAGGGTTCGGGAATAGAGTTGGGGCAGGGGAGCTGAAAAACAGATTCATGGGGGGAAGCGGGGGTCACAGAGAACAAGAAGCATAGATCTGGATGGGGTTTGTGGGGCCCCACAGGAAGCATGGGGCGGTGTTGCACCCCTGAAGAGGTGTAGCAGAGGGACACAGGAGAGTCCAAAAGCAACAGGGATGAAGGGTAGAGAATGGCGATCGGTGGTAAGGACGCCAGGTACTGTGCTCCAAGGAAGGTGGCAGGAAGACCCGGGGGTGCTGGCTGCATGCAGCAGGGAAGGTCCCAATGGGAGGGGAGCCATGTTACTGGCAAATGTGACATCTTGGGACAGCTCCATCCAGTGAACAGAACTGAATTTGTCAGAGTGCATTCCCACTTGTGAATGGCCTGCGATGAGAAAAGTGTCCTGGGGCCCTGTTTGTGCCAAGTATGCCGTGAGGAGGTCTCCATCTCCCTTCCTCTGGAGAAGCGGATCCCATCTCAAGTTCACATTGGTCCTTTGCCTGAGTCTCCTGTGGGACTGAGGGTGGGCAGTGGGTTGCGCCTCAATAGAGGGTGTCCAGCAGCCTCTGCCACTAAGTGCCAATCAAAAAATGTCACCAGACTTCAAATGACTCAGGAGGCAATTGCTTTAGGGACCTGGAAGCCAAGAATGCCCGCCTTGAGGTCAGAGAGTGGGCTGCAGAGCACTGCTCTAGGGAAAAGCCAGAAGCCCTGGCAGCCCA